CAGGGCAAGTTTGTGAATCCCCAGTTAGGAAATGGGAGGTTAGGGAGAGATTTAGCAGCACATTGAAGAACCCATTTCAGAGGAGGAATTGCTGAGGGTTTGTGACTAGTCCATAGACTGTTATGTTGTGTGGTTGATTAAAATGCAGTCTGTTGTGCTCCAGGTATGATTGCCGTAGTCTGGAGTGGTGCCCAGGAATGGTCCAGGTTACTCTGGTATAGACGGGACACACTTTGGGAAATGTAAGGAAAGGATGAGTAAGGCAAAGATGCTTAATTCCCCATGAGAGACAGAAATTGGGAAGGAGGCATCCAAACCAAACAGGCTGACATTTGTTAGTCTATTACAAGAGGACAGGTAGTGAACAGTTACCCTAAGAATTAAGGAACATGGGAGTGAGGACAGAATCAGCGACTCAGCTAGAGCTGGTGTTTCCATAGCCCTCACCCTTCATCCAGGTACCTGGACTGTTTCTTTTTTCTTTTTTCTTTTTTTTTTTTGAGTTGGAGTCTCACTCGGTCACCCAGACTGGAGTGCAGTGGCTGCTCCTGGCCACCACAGCCTCACCTGCTGGGCTCCGGCGATCCTTCCGCCTCAGCCTTCCGAGTAGCCGAAATTACTTATCCAGTCACAGTCACATCTGAAAACATCATGAAATCAAGGCTGGGTTCAACCTGTGTGTGTACCAGCTGGGTGTATACCAAGGAAAGCTCTGTTCTTCAGGTACTTTAACTACCAAGTAGTTATCCGACAAGTGTATATTTTGAGAGACTTGGTGAACAAGAAAATACAGGTTCTCAGTAAAAAACATAAAAGCGACCTTGTTAGTACTCTTATTAGACAACAGGAGAAATCGTAGTAGTCAGTAGTAAGTAACCTTGATAGTACTCTTATTAGACAACAGGAGAAATCGTAGTAGTCAGTAGTAAGTAACCTTGTTAGTACTCTTATTAGACAACAGGAGAAATCATAAGTAGTTCGGTAGATTCCTCACATCTGATAAACCATAATATCATACTCATTTCTCACATAGTTAACACTTCACAGAGAAGTGTTCTTTACAGATAAACTTTGAATTGCTATCTCTCGCCCTTGCCTCTAGCCAGACTTGATGGCAGGACTTAGAGTGACTAGCCTGTCCTCCTGCCTTCTCCCTTGGGTCACACCTTGCTCCCATCCCAGTGGTAATCACCTACAAGTTGTTATTCACTTCTACTTCTTCCAACTGTCTTCCCTAATCCATTTGTTCTCCCCCTCTCCCCTTTTTTTGAGACATAAATATTTCCCACTCCATCCCCCAATAGGACAAAAGAAACACCCTGGGGATCGGTCAGACTCAATCCTGGCTACAGATTAGAGTCAGCTGATCAGGTTGAAAAAGTACCAGTGTTTGGTCCCCATCTCCAGAGATCATGTTAATTTTTCAGGGCCTCAAAATTTTTAAAGCTCCCCAGGAGATTCCAGTGGGCCCTTGGGCTCGAAAACCACCTGAGGGTAGTTGATGGGTATAACAGTACTAACCGGATACCTGTCTCACAGAAGTGGACTGGAAGATGAAATGGAAATAGGTATTTTTAAATAATGCTGTTTGCCACTCAAGCCCCCAATGTGGGACAGGCCCCCATAAAGTCCTCTTCCTCCCTGTCCTCTATTGTATAAGCCTGCTTCCTATTAAGCAGCAGCATTCAAAATGAAACAAAACAAGAGTTGTGTTTGTTTTAGGATTTCTGTGGTGTTGTCTTCGGCTCTGTGGCAGTGGAGTGTGACTTGACCTTCCTCATGAACTCATCCAGCACAGCGTGTTGTGCCTCCGTGGTCTTCATTGCGTTGTTTGGCCTCTCTGGGCCTCACATTATACTTAAGACAGTATTCAAAGCTGCAGAACCCTATATAGCTGGAGGATTTAGACTATCTCATGGAATTGATGGTGACATGCTTCGGTCCTTGAACACGTACAGTAGACTTTGTTTTGTGGTCTGAGGAGGCCCAACGCCAGCCTTTTAGGATACTTGAGAGAAAAAACTTCTTTTCTATGTATGAATACTTCTCTTGAATAAACAACTTTGATGTCTCTCTTTTCTTCCTTGAAAGAAAGTGATGAACAGGACGGTAAACTCTAATAATTTTCTTTAAAAAGCATTTTAAGTTTTTTTTTTGTTTTTTTTTAAGGAGGCAATAGGAAATTAGATCTGAAAATAGAAAGGTAGTGATGGGCAGTTGAAGTCCTCATTTAGACTCCTGAAGTTCTTATTTAAATTTCTGTGTATTAGGTTCCATAGAAATTCCTACAATAAGTGTATTTTGTCATCTTTTACATTTTGCATGAGAATATTTTGTGGTTTGATCCTTGTTTTTTCAGAATTTATGTGGGCCCAAATGTTGGATTGTACATTGAAAAAGGGCTGTGAATGGAGGAATGTCACAACAGGTTATTAAAATTTCATGGGTTTTTTTTTTTTTTTCTAATTTAAAATTGATTCTGAAGGACAAAAAAGAAAAAGAAAAAAGAAAACTCACAAGGCATAGTTTCTCTTTAGAGTCTGGTAGGCAACCTCACTGTAGTTATGAGTAACTTCTCAAACACTGGTCTCCCTTTTTCCTTTCTGTAATTACTGAATAAGGTCCATGTAAGACCAAATACAGAATCTAAACTCTGTGATCTCATCACCAAAAACACAGGCTGGAGGGACAGTTCTCCTTCTCTCAGGAAGCCGCCTCCCCTTGGGCTCTCCATAACTCTGTAATTTATGGTGGTGCTCCCTTTGTAGTCTGAAACTCAAAAAGGATTTTATTTTCCCCTTCCCTTACAGAAGTAGTGTTACAAATGGATTGCTGTAGGTGAGGAAGAGGATAGAGAAAAGGTGTGTGTGTGTGTATGTAACCTGTTACAAATTTAATTTTAAGGGTGCACACCCATCCCTGGGTCCTCTGGACAGAGGATCTGTCCGACAACTGGCATGTTGTGGGCTATGTTGGATGTTCTTTTATACTTGTCTGTCAGTTGTGGTTAGGACACATGAGAAGCCTGACTTTTTTGCTGAGGTGTGCTTTAGGAAAGGAGGCTTGGCTGAAGGACTTGCAGCAGCTGGGAGATGGGCTCCTTTCCTGGCTGCCATGGCCCTCTGTAGAGAGGCAGGTGATTCCTTTTATCAGTGTGTACTGGGAGGACACCTCAGGTATTCAAGCTGCTGTTCACCAGGTGGTGCTGTCCTGCAGTGAATGCTTAGATAATGATGCCAGAGAGGTCTGCAACCCGGTGCAGGAAAAGCTTAGGCGCTCAGAAGCCCGAGCAGCATTTGCAGGTTGGCTCTGAGGCTTTTTTGGGGAAAGCATTTGACACGGGGGTGGCCACCTGGTCCATGTGGGGTTCTCTCCCACACTCTGCCCAAATGAGGCCTCAGATGTCCCTGGGGGTGGGGGCTGAACCTTTCCCGAATCTGTATCAGTGCCTGCTTTCCCTCCAAAGAAAATCTCTTGTGCTCTGTTCTCATCTTTGAAGTCCTGGTGACTAAAGGGGACGTGTCTTCCAGAGCTCCTCATTAAGAAGACTTAAAGGGGAGAAAAGGCCTCCACCCCTCCTCTGCATGCACAAACCTATTAGCACCCCGATGCCCTGCCAAGGTGGTTTTGTTGGCCCAAACGTGACTGTACACGATTCCATCCTTCTTTTTGGCAACGAAGCCTGACAGGAATGACTTGGGCAAGAGCCTAGCTGGTGGTGTGTTTGAGCATGGACAGCACCCTTGAAAAAGAACGTTTTCCAGGACAGGTGTAGCAGTAAAAAGAACATTTCCCAGGGAAATAGGCTCTGAGTCGTGGGAAGCTGCTTGTTGGAATCCTTCAATCAACAAGCACGTGTGGAGCATGTGCCTCTACTTGTGATGAGATCAGGCGGTGGGGTGGCAGGCGACACTGGGAAGACTAAGCCCTGGGGAAATAGTGGGAGGGGCGGTCAGGTAGAAAGAAGCCACTGCTGAAACACAGGCACCACCAGGTGTTTTGAGTGCAGAGGAAGGACTGAGGTTCTCTGGGGGTGGGGCAGGCATACAGGGGCTTTTGAGCTATGCTTGGAGGATGACTAATTTCCAGAGTGAGAGAGGGGTGTCTCATGATGAGGGAAGAGGGAGCGCAAAGGTGTGAAGCTGGGCCATGTGTTCTGGAATGGTAAGTTGGGTAGAAACCTGAGATTCCTGAGGGGAAGAGGCAGGAAATGTGGGTAAGGAGGTGCTCAAGAGGACTTCAGTACCCTGGGGACTTGAGAGAGGCTCCTGGCTCACTGTCTGCAACCTTTAAAACATTTCCTAGCTGGGCTGGGTGGCTCAGCCTGTAATCCTGTGCCTTTGGGAGGCTGAGGTGAGTGGAATGCCTGAGCCCGTGGGTTCAAGACCCGCCTGGGCAGGTGAGACCTCATCTCTACAATAAATACAAAAATCAGCCGGGCATGGTAGCGCGCGTCTGTAATTCCAGCTACTTGGAAGGCTGAGGCGGAAGGATCGCTGGAGCCCAGCAGGTTGAGGCTGCGGTGGCCAGGAGCGGCCACTGCACTCCAGTCTGGGCGACAGAGTGAGACTCCAACTCAAAAAACAAAACAAAACAAAACATTTCCTTATGGACTGGGCTGTTAGCGGGTGTTAGCCTCAGGTCAAGAGAAAGTGGCGGTAAACTGCACACTTCTAGTACATTATTCCAGGTGGGCTTTCAGTAAATGTTCTGCCTCAGCTCCGACAGGGGTGATCTGAGGGGTGATCTGAGGAAGGAATGAGTTCCCTTGGTTTTGCTCACCCATCAGTCACCCTGCTTTTCCCTGGCTTAAGAGTACGTACTGCTGATGTCTTTTTCTTCTCTGTTACTGCTGCTTTGGGATTTTCAGGGAGGTCAGAGCTGGTTTATAAACTCTATGCTTCTTGTTTCATAGGGCGAGAGTGCTGACAGGCTTCCTTTTTTCTAGTTCTCTTGCCAGCTTTCTGTGGTTGACTGGTCGTGAAGAACTTTCTGGGCACCCCCGAGTGAGTGAGACAGCCACACTCTGTTCAAGCAAGTGGAGCCTAGGGTGAGGAGAGGTGAGTGAGACTAGGGAGACGTGCTAATTACAGAGTCCGTACTCTGACCAAGTGTTCTGAATTACATTTTCTCAAAATTTTGAGGGCTTTGAAAGTAAATCAGATTTTTATTCAAAGAAACTTAAGAACTATTTTTTAAGCAATCAATGTATTACCGTGTTAAAGCCCTTATTAATAATGTGGAGGCTACAGTACTTCTCTCAAGGCTTTTCTAGTTTTATTGACTTGTGTCCATTTCAGAGTTTTTTGGTCATTTTATAGTGTCTGGCATGGTACTTTTGCAGTGAAAACATTGAATATATGTTGACTGAATATCTTGGTTTATAGTTTGCACCCCTAGAAGTGGAACTGAGAGAAATTTTGCAGACTTTAATAAAGTCAGACTGGCTATCTAGGCTGTGTCATTTTCGTTCTCCTCTTTTATTTATTCTGTGGAAAATTTTGTAAAGTTTAGTTATAAGCCTCCTCTTAGCTCCCGGGAGACAAATAAGGGAACGCTTACTGCTGGCCTTAGCTCAGATGCTCTTCATAGATTGGCTTTTTGGGGTCATGGCTCCCCCAGAAGATGGCTTAAGTTATGTCTACTGCCTGTTCTACAGACTGCCTTGTTAACTTATTCTGAATGATGTTGTCTTCTCCCCCAAGTTTCAAGGAGGATTTTCTCGTTGTGTGGCTTTAAGAACTGTGGTATCCTTGTGCTACAGTGCTATGTGTCAGTTGTGAAACACAAATACCTATTTCAAGAGGGTTGGTGAGGCTGGTGGTTCCTAATGGGGAAGGTCTTTGTTCTAGTCATCTTTTTTATTTGATTTCCTGTCTCCAGTGTGTAGCACATAGTTGGACTCAAATAGTCCCTTCTTTAAGAAGGAAGAAAATTGACTGTCTGAGGACAGCATCTTCAACCCATTCTTAAGTGAGCACAAAGCTTGGAGGACTGTGGCTATTTATGCCCAGCTGCCCACTGTTGAGGCGGTGAGCAGGAATCTCCAAGACATCTAGGATGGAATGGTTGATGGGGACACCTGAAGACTCTGACCTGGATCTCTTTTCTGTGGCTGTTGGAAATTCTTCTCCATAGGGGTTAGGGGTCAAAGTTAAAGTTGCTTTCAAATCTCTGAGTTCTTAAAACATCTACATGATGTGCCCGTGTACTCTGCCATCTGTTTAGTGTGACGTGCCAGCAGGATTTCATTATCTGTACTTACCCCTCCTACTGCACCCTGCTATCCATGAGGAATGGGGTGGCCACATAGCTCCCCAAAACTTTGGGGGATCCTGCCAAAAGGCAGAGCTTCTCAACAGCAGGAGCATGGCAGCAGAGGGCGTATCAGAAATCTGGTGAATCCTTAAAATTAGGGTACTGGGACTTCCCATGTGTGCTGAACTAGAATTTGGGAATGGGGGAGTCCCTGCCTGCTGTATATATGTTTTGTTTTTTTTTTAAAAACTCCACAAGAGGTGATAGTGTATATTATTAATTAAGACTGATAACCACATATGATAAAAAGTTTAGAGGATACATAAAGTTAGTGACCAGAAGATCTGAAGAAATCCTTGCTTAGATTCAATGTTATGTACAAAGAGTAAGTAATATTTTTAGAATTCTCAGACATTCAAATCTTTTGCTATAGATACATTCTAGTTATTAATATTTGAGATATTTAACTTTTTGAAAAAGTATTTGTATGTGGAGTAAACTTAAAAACAAGAACTCTTTCTTAGCCCTAGCAGATGTTTGGGGAAATTTTTTGAACTCCACTGACTAGTTTAACCAGTTTATATTGCCAAGCCAAACATTCCCTTGTTGTGCCATAATTTGTATTGTAGAACCATTTTATAACTTTTACTTAAAATTGCATGGGATGACATATACTATGATTGTAACCATACAAAGAACAAGAAAAATGACACTGAAGAGCAATTTACTAAATCCAGCAAGAGTTTAGGCTTATTGAGGAATCCAGGTGGAAATGGAAGTAAATGGAATTTTACAAGAGATTTGCATATCAAAACCAAGTCTTTCTTTCTTGTGGTAACACATTTCTCAAAGTAACATCGAAATAGCAATTTAAGTGCACTGCCCTTAGAGATTTATTGGAAAGAAAATTTATTTAGCAAGTTAGGCATCTCCTCCTTCCAGTTTTCATATGGCAGAGAATTAGCTAATTTTTGTCCTTCCCTGGGATCCATTTTAGAAGTGGATGGGCGCTTAGTAGCAATGATCATGTTAAATGGTCTTGTGGCTTTTAACTGTGTCTCTCTTTTGCGAATTCCTTTTCTATGAAAGAAAACCTTAACGACCCACTGCTATTTGAGATTTTATTAATTTGGTGGGTTTGATGGAGAAATAGTGAGTTTTGGCTTTGAAGTTAAAGAATATTATAGTTTATGAGGGACCTAACAGATGGCTTATCCCATTGCTTCAACTCAACAGAAACTGCTGTTGCTGAGGTCACAAATGGCTTCTGATCATTGAGTCCTGTGGTCACTTTTTAGTCCTAGACATGACTTCTGTAGCACTCGATACAACTGGCTGGTCTTCATTGTGCAGAGCTCTCTCCTCTGGGTTCCTTTGCATCATTCTGGACCGTTTTGGTTTTCTTTCCTTCTAGGTCCTACTCTGTCTACCCTTAAATGTGCACGTTCACTGGGCTTCATCCTTGGTGGTTTTCGTTTAGTCTGCTCAGCCTTTTTGGGGGATACCTCAGTATTTCCTGTGGCTTCAGCCACCCACACTTTAATAGACCCCTCCCAAGTCTCTCTCTGAGTTCATCCTCCTCTCAAACAATCTTTTGGACATTTCTGCTTGGGTGACTCATAGGTACTTTCAACTCAGGATATCCAAACTGAACTCATTTCCCTCCTAATTATCACCTGCTTCCTGCGCTTCACTCCAAACCCCTCACCCCATCTTCTGTCTGCTTTTCCCAGTATGGTCATTGGCACTACTTTCTACTCTGTCACTCAAGACAGAAATGTGTGACTCATTCTTTGTGCCTCCCTCAGTTAGCTCCATATTTTACTTGGTGGTCAGGTTTATCATTTTAATATCCTAAATAAAGAAGAAAGAAGCAAACTTAAAAGTCATTTTGCTAGCATGTAATTGCTATGGGTGTTAAAACTTATAGTTGGGCCTCTCTAAGCAGGTGTAATAATATGAGATAATTAGGACCATTTATGTAATATATATTTCATACAAGCATTGTCCTGGGCACTTGTTCTATTTTATTACAATTTTTTTTTTTTAAATTTCTAATTTTCACAGCTATTCTGTGGGTTTAGAGGCTTAAGTCCAGGCCCAGGGTCATAGAATAAGTAAAGTGCAGTGTTGTTTGGGCTTAAACCCATGGGTTGGACTGTATGACTGCAAAGCCTTTGCCTATGCCATCATGCCATTTTGTCTTGCTTTGTTTTCATAATGCCACAGTTGTAGATTTCTGGCAAGTAACTGAGGGTAGTAACTGGTCTTATTCATATTTGTATCTGTCAACATGTACTTGTATATTTTTTCTTACATATAGTCAGTAGTAAAGACATGACTTTTTAATTTTTTTTAATTTGTCATGACTTTAAAAAAGAGATAGGATGTCTGTTGGTTGTCTAGGCTGGAGTGCAGTGGTGCAATGATAGCTAATTGCATCCTCAAACTCCTGGGCTCAAGTGATCCTCCCACTTCAGCTTCCCAAGTAGCTGGGACTACAGGCATGCACCACCATTCCTAGCTAATTAAAAAAAACTTTTTTGAGCCGGGTTTGGTGGCTCAGCCTGTAATCCCGTGCCTTTGGGAGGCTGAGGTGAGTGGATTGCCTGAGCCCGTGGATTCGAGACCTCATCTCTACAATAAATCAAAAAATCTGCCAGGCGTGGTAGCACATACCTGTAATTCCAGCTACTTGGAAGGCTGAGGCGGAAGGATCACCGGAGCCCAGCAGGTCGAGGCTGCGGTGGCTGGGAGCGGCCGCTGCACTCCAACCTGGACAACAGAGTGAGATTTCAACTCAAAAAAATCCAAAAAACAAAAAACAAAACTTTTTTTTTTTTTTTTGTAGAAATGAGATCTTGTTATGTTGTCCAGGCTGGTCTCGAACTCCTGGCTTCCCAAAGTTCTGGGATTATAGGTGTGAGCCACTACCCTGAGCCAAAATGACTCTTGATGGTCTGTGTCATCCATAGCTTCATCTAGGTACTTGGCTTCATCTAGTCCTGGCTCTTCCATGAGCTTTATACTAGCTGGGTGACCTGAGACAAGGACAGTGGGATTGTGCTGCTTGCCCTCACAGGGTTTTTTATGAGAATCAAATGGATTTCCATAAAGGAAAGTGATTTAAATTCAGGGACATTTTCAAGAAGTCCTATTTAGTTGTGGGAATTGATAATTGGTTGCTCACATGAGCCCTCTTTTCTTTGCTTATATAAATGAGTGTGGAAATATAAATTCTGAGTTTCTGATGTTCATACTGATCAGATCATTCACACACAGGCAGGAAAGGTAAGAGCATACCTCATCAATAAATATAGTACACATAGAACTAATTTTCATTAGTTCTTAGCAAAACTGTTTGAGAACACATAAGGCTATATGATCTACAAAAACTAGATAGAACCTACTGAGATATAGACAAGTGATTGGAGCAGAGTCTGCTGAAGTTTTCTTTATTCTGTTAAATTGATATAGGGAACATGGATATGGGCATGTTTAGTGCTGTTCCAAAATGAACCCTACGTTGTGCCTCTGGTGGTTCTATATTTTGTTTCTTCACAGATCTCACCTTTTGCACTCTTCTGAGAGGAAAATATTCCTTTATTTTTTCTTCATATTTCCTTCTTTTTCATCATATTTTGATACAAAGTTTGTCTAAGGAGATATACATATATTATCCTTTTGATTAATATATAAACCTTTTGATTAATATATAATGATATTAATATATCATTGTGCAATTGTTTAACTTTGTAAGTCTCAGTTTCATACGAAATTGCCCTGTACATTTGGAGCAGTG